ACTTCCTTGAGCTCAGAAAAAGTTTCAAACTTCTGTTTTCATATCTAAATGACAGAAAGGTATAAGTTAAAAGATCATAAAGCAGGGTGGCAAGCCAAAGGCACTGAGTTCAATCCCCGGTTAAAAAAAAAAAAAAAAAAAAAAAAGGGATCATAAAGCACTCGGACACACTGTCCTGCCTCTGAAAACAACCTATGCCCTTCTAGGAATGCTTCCAGGTGACAAAGAGAACTTGTCCCCGGCAAACACTTCAAAGAAAAGTCACTTAGTGCACGCACACATCCCACCCGTGTACAGCCTGGCCACAGGAACTGGCCGTTTCCTACAGTGAGGGGAGGCCCCTGAATAAAACTCTGAGTAAGACATGCGCTCTGCAGACCAATGCGAAGAGCTTACCGCTTCCCCAGGCTGAGCAGGTTTCCCACCATCCGCTGCAACACCTTCTTCACGTTGACCACCCCATACAGCGCTGCGGTCACGTGCTGGCCAATTAAGTACTCACACTCTTTCACGGTCAGCTGCTTGCCTTTCCCAAAAGCATCGATGTAGATGTAGTCAAAGATGTCCAGAGTTGCCCTATCCGAAGAGCCAAACAGAAGAGAGCTGAACAATTCAGTACTTAAGTTCCTGTAACGGGTAGCTCAAATCAGAGGCTGAAGGTTAAAGCAATACATTCCTTCTGACAATATCAAGGCCTCGTCCAGTTTAAATCTGAGCCTTGACACAAGCTTAGCTGCGTCAACACCACAGGACCCTGGTACTTCAGAGGGCTCACCGCTGTACGTCATTTAACATAGGAAGATTAAACCTCTCACAGCTGGGCATCAAACAAAATTCAGATGGAAGATAATAGGGAAGGGCTGAGGCTGAGGAAGTCTGTGAGCTCCTAAAAATAAGCAGTTGCAGGGCCTGGGAGTTCAATCCCCGGGTGAGCTGAGATGGCAATTGAGACTAGGCGTGCTGGGGCACACCTGCAATCCCAGCTCTTGGGAGGCTGTAAACAGGCAGATCACCACTAGTCTGATCTAGTAGTGAGACCCTGATCACCCTTTAGACCCTTCCCTAAAATACCAAAAACAAAACAAAACAAAAAAAAAAAAAAAAACCCCAACCAAACAGCAGTGGCTCACCATGGGGACCCCAAGGCCTTGAGGATCTGAGCACAGGCACAGCAGGTCACCCCACAAGGACTCAGCCCTCCCCTCGGTCCATCCTGGCTGAGTACTGCGTTCCTGGATTTGGTTGCGTGGTCCCAGTGAACCTTGCCCTTCTACACGGAACCAGCTCTCACTGACGTAGTCAACAGTGGTTACAGGACACAAACTGTCACCGTGCTGACCAGCGCATGCTCTCGGGGGGCTCATGGTGGGGTTATGAGGGTCTCAATCTCACGGTCACTCTATTTCTTTTCAGCAACTGTTTCACCTTGAACTGTACACGATAAGTCACAGATTACTCTCTTTGGCTGCTAGAAAGTCCAGTTGGATTTTTCCCCAAGTCATGCTTTTACAGTCCTCTTGAAGCAAAGACATTAAGACTTCCATAAGGATTCTAGAAATAAGGAACTCTTGAACTCTTTATGAAGCTAGACCCTCTTCCCATCCAAGTACTAACAGGCCCGACCCTGCTTAGCTTCCAGGATCAGACGAGATCGGGCATGTTCAGGGTGGTATGGCTGTAGACACAGGCCCTCCTTAGAACAAGCATACAAAAATGTATAGGGCAAAATCATTTCTGAGCAGAAATGCAAAACATCCAGGATGAAATATGAGCCAATCAAGTGCAGCAATGTATTTTTAAAGCACATAATTAAATTAGATGAACTCCAAAAATGATAGAACTGAACATTAAAAAACCTATTTTTTGGAGCTTGGGTATAGCTCAATGGTATGCTTAGCAGATTCAATTTCCAACATCAAGGAACAGAAACAAAAACAAAGCTATTTCTGTGCATATATAAGACTACAAGAGAAAAATTATCTGATAATATGAGTAGACAGAAAAAAAATGGGGAAAAAAAATACCTGAATCCATACTTAAAACTCCTAGCAAATTAGGAATCTGGAGAATCGCTTTGATAATCTCACACACTGGTTTGGCCCAAATACCACTGAAGGCAAACCTTGGAATGTGTGTCCCTGAAAATCATAGTCCAGGCAGAGGCGCCTGCTATCACTGGGTTCAACTTTGTATAAAAAGAGCTAGTTGACAGAGTCAAGATAAGGAAAATAAACAAATATATAAGGCTAGAAAAAAGAAAACCAATACTACTCCCAGGCACTGTGATTATCAGCACTGACAAGCTGCGTTGACAACTGCTGATGCGAACAATTTATTCAGCAAAGGTGCTGAATATCAAGCCTATCTTTACTAACCACATTCCTGTATGTCACTAATACTTAGGAAAGTGATATTAAAAATTATTTTTTAAAAAGTTTTTCCCAATGAATGGATTGGCTGGATATCTCTATACAGAAAGTGAACTTTGACACATATATGTCACATCCTGTACCAAAAATCATAGACCAAAAAAAAAAAAAAAAACTTCATAATTACTGAACAATTTTTAGGTTCATTTCTTTTTTTTTTTTTTTTTAAGGTTTTTTCTTCTCTAGATTCCCTGGGATCAAATTAATTAAATTAATTAATTAATTAATTTTTGTGTGTGGTACTAGGGATCAAACTTGGGACCTTGTGCTTGCCAGACAGGCCCTTATGCCACTGAGCTATCTCCCTGGCCCCCAAAATTATCTTTTATTATAGCACTAAAAATATAAATACCTAAAAAACCCCCACAATCCCAGCTTGATGAAAAAAGGGTAAACCTTTTCAAGCACTCTACAAGGGCCTGCGCAGACAGAGAGGACCATGTGCACAGAGGCAGACTCGACAGTGAGACACCACGACGGTCCCCTTTTTAATCTAGAAACCTGTGCCTCAGTCAACAGCCTTGCAGGATTTCTAAAGAACCTGAAAGATGCTCAATCTGTGTAGAAGTGCAACATCTAAAAAGAGCCTGGCAATGTTAAAGCCCTCACGGGTTCGCACCCTACCAGGACTAGGTATAAAGTCATAGTAACGGAGACCGTCTGGTCTTGGTGTAGGGCAAGAAGGAAAAGACCAGTGGCAGGAGTGTAAAGGAAGAGAGAAAGGCCAGGCAGGGCCAAGGCTCAGCAGGTAGCTCTTGTTTTAAGACAGCGTCCTGCTATGATGCCCTGGTTGGTACCATAATCCCAGGCTCAAGTGATCTTTCCATAGCCCAAGAAAGAAAACAAGACACCAGCACCACATACAGTCCTGCCCTGTAAATACGTGGTAACCACTACGATAAATGCCCTATAACACACGTATTTAAAGGTATTTTAGAAACATGGGGAGACTGGTTGAATCACCTATGGAAGGAGAAATTAATTTTTCTAGGTACATTTTTAGGAATATATGATTAGGAAACAAGGAAAGCCTGTACAGTTATTTACAAAAACAAATACAAGTGATAAACAAACAAATCTGCACAAAAAACACTTTCAAACTGGTGGTTACTTCCAGGGATGAGAGAAAGGAGAAAGCATGGCGGGGGCTTCCATGACACCGACAAGCCTGACTGCCTCAGCTGACAGGCAGACACGCACCCAGGCCACAGGCTTCTTCCCTCCCTAACATCAGAGCTCCACTACGTGGGTGAAGCCGGGAGAGCTTTCCTCCGCCAAGCCACTAAAACATCAACCTCGCTTCTAGAGGAGCAGACTGCGGGTCATAGGAGGCCAGAGCATGAGTCCTGTCCCATGTCACTGCCCAGGCACTTTTTATTACACTGTTCCTCAGTTCTTCTAAGGGTATCACAGATCATCTGTAGGAAGCAGTGTCGAAGAACAGGGTGTGAGCGTTTTCCCTTTATGTTTTGGCTAACTAGCAGATTTGTTATTATTATTTTTTGTTTATTTGTTTGCAGATCTGGGATTGAATTTAGGCCCTTGCGCTTGCCAGGGAAGCGCTTATTCTACTGAACTATCTCCCCGGCCTCTAACTAGCAGATTTAATGAGAAAATATTTCTATTCTATGTAGTCACTGAACTTTTTTTTTTTTTTTTTCAGAAAAATTAGACAGAAAAGAACTTTCATTTGAAAAAGTAACTGAAAAGAAACTTTGCCCAGTAAAACACTAGATTCAAAAAAGAACACCAGAGAACTCGTTAGCTAGACACTGAGGCCACAAGAAGCCACCAGCACTGCCTCCAGGGGAGCTGCTCTGGGCAGCTCTCCACAGCTGCCTCCCTCCCACAAGTGACTCCCTTGATGACTCTTTGATCTACTTTGGAACAAAGAAACTGAGAGCCACAGACCTTGAAATATTATTTTTTCAAATTAAACTAAGATAACTGCAGCCTCGGACGCAGCTGCAAAAGCTGGGTCCTGAAGGACCCAGAGGAGCCTTCAGTCACTCTCCCTGTTGGCAGCACCCTGTGTAGCTACAGCGTAGTGTCCCAACTGGGGCCATGACAGAAAGCTTCTGGCCACCCTGATCCCATTTTAACCCCTCTGGTCACCCTTAATCCTGGCCTCCCATCCGCATGGGGGGGGGGCTGGCTCCTCGCGCTGATGACCACATGCCAGAGATGACTTACCCTTCTGCCCCTTGGCACCACCTCAGCAAGAAGTGACTCGGGAAGTTGACAGGCTCCAGCGGAACTCCCAGCTGCCGAGCAATCGTCAGGTATAGCAGTGACATGCTGATTGGGATTCCTGTTCTGCGGATCAAGACCTTCAGGACAAAAGATGCTTTGGGTTCAGAGAAATCTTACACGCTCATGTGCTCAATAAGTAGTCTTATTAGGTACTTATCCCGCATGAGGCCTGGTGCTAGTTTCTGAGGTTTCACCAGGAAAATATTTTTTTAATTCACAGCAAGGGACAAATCTAGTCCACTCACACTTCCTATATAGTTGATATAGGAAGAGTTTTTGGAATTTTTTTAGCCTAAAGAATGCTGTTTTGTGATTTACAAAAGCAACTCGAAATTCCAATTCCAGTGCCCACGTACAGACCCAGGTTAGACCGGAGCCGTGCACATCTGCCTGCGCCTGCTCCACAGAAGGACAGCACTAAGGAGCTAGTCAGACTACATGGCCCACAAAATTGAGGGCACTGGCTGCCTGGCCCTTTAGGGTAGAAGGCTGGCTTTCCATGCCTCGATAGTAAAAGCAGAGGCAGCAGACGCCACCAGAACAGATCCATGCAGCCATCCACCTTACATCATCTCTAGCTTACTTACAATGCCTAGTTAGACAGTACAAAGGCTATGTAAATGTAAATGGTGGTTGTCTGAGTAACTATCACCAGGAAAGTCTATATGTGTTCAATACAAACACAATTACTTTTTTTCCAAATAGTTCTGATCCAGCCAACTACATGGAGGAAGTGCAATACATGGTTATGGAGGACCAACTTTTTTATTTAAATGGCGGTGGTCCATATTTACCTGGTGCATATATAAATTGAGAGCGTTGTAGTAATCCATCCGATTCCCCTTGAACTTCAGCTGGTCATAGAGAACATAGTTCATGGCATCCAGGACCTGGCTCTGGAGCTCTATCTCCATTATCATGGAGGATTCGCCTGAAACAGAGATCTAGCCTGGAACACCCCAACAAGGTTCAGACCCTTTATGCCCAGCCAGCCCACTACACGTAGATTCGCAACATCTTAATAACCGAGTGCTACCAATCCAGACCAGAAGAGCATGTGCTGGAGGAGTTTTAGGTGTCACTTAACAATTTTTGTCAGTCAATAGGTCTGCTCTCCTGAACTTCCAATAAACCAACCCCTCTCGTTCTAGTTTCCTTTGTAAATATAGCTGGATCCAAAGCGATTCCACACCTGCCTTGAAGGCCAAGCTGGGGTGGCGGCTGTTTATGCCTCGGAGGGTTTTGCAAACAAGCTCCACAATGCTGTCGATCTGGGCCTGGATGTCTTTGAGGCTGATGTCAGAGAGAGGGTTGCAGTACTGATCGATATAGACAGCTCCTGTGGATGAACAAGAATCATGGAATAAATTCTCCTCTCAACCTGCTCTTGATAGCCGGGCAGCGGACCTGACCTCCTGCGTCACCCCCGCGGACGAGCTTCCCTTGGGTGCCAAGCCTTGCCACTGACACACTGAGGAGGGAGACCAGATGCTTCTATAACAGAAGTGTTCACTCCCCTTCCTTGCTTCCTCCTTTTTTTTTTTTTTTTAATATAACCAAACTTCTCTCAGAGGTTGTGGACAAACCAAGCCAAACCAAAGCAACAACAAAACCCCCAAACAAATGCCACAAAGGAGAGCTTTACAAGGTGCCCTCTCCCTCTATAGGCTCAAAATCTAGCATCTCTGAAACTTCATGCTACAAGACAGTTCTTTTATTTAAAAATAGTTGAAAGCTATCCTGAAAGACTGGATTTTTAAAAAAAATTTTATGTATTTGGTAGGGGCCGGGGAGATGGCTCAGTAGAATAAGCACTTCCCTAGCAAGCACAAAGGCCTGAGTTCAATCCCCGGTTCTGGGGGGG